TGACTCCATCCAGTCTGACAAATGGGGAACCTGCATAAGACTGAACTAGACTCCCTTAATATAGGTGACAATGGTGTGATTGGGTCAATATATGGGGCCACTGGCATTGGGTCCAAGATCTAACTAATGCACAAACTGACTTAGTGGAGCCCATTCTATATGGAGAGACACCTTGCTCAACCTCAAGTTTGAGGGGTGGGGAGGTGCCTTGGTCCTGCCTCAAGGAGATGATGATGGGACAGTCTTAATAGACTTCCTAGAGGAGGCTTTACCCTCTCCGAAGAGCAGATGGGAGGTAGGGTGGGGAGCCAGAGGAGAGGAGGGATAGTGAACTGGGATTGGAATATAAAAAATAAATTAATATAAAGACTTAAAAAGATAATTATCTGTATCATTATTTAGGAGCTGGTAGCTCAAAGAACAGTCCAATTACAGGTGCCCCCACACCTCTGACACCTGTACTCACATGCACATACACACAAACACATAATTAAAAGAATAAAATAATTGAAAAACTTTTTGAGACCGGGTTTCTCCGTGTGACAGCCCTAGATGTCTTGGCACTAGCTCTGCAGAGTAAGCCGGATTCCAGCTCCAGGTGTTCATCTCCAGATGGCAGCATTACCTTTGGATTTGGAATCTGGTCTCCCCGTTACTAGTTTCTTAGACATTGAACAATAGAAAGTCACTAGTTTACAGTTGTGGAGGTTAAAGCCCCAAACCTGGGTATGGATAGGGCCTTCTTGCCTCTTCCCAGCTATCTTATGGTTACCTGCAATCTCCAGTGAGCATCATTCCTATCTGTAGACCAGGCTGGTCTTCAAATCATAGAGATCTGCCTGCCTTTTTCTCCTGAGTGCTGGGATTAAAGGCGTGTGTCACAAGGACTGTCTAAGAATAAATAAATCTTGAAGGAAAAACAAAGGTTTTGGGAGAAAAAGTAGTCTCTGACTACTTTTTTATAACATATATGTTATGTTATATGTTATAAACATATAACATATATGTTTATATGTTTCATATATGTTTATAACATATATGAAAAGACCTAGATGAAGGGGAGAGAAGTTTAGTTTGTTCTGAGTGACACCCAGTGGGAGATGGCTCTCCCAGGGCCTCTGAGGGGTTGGGGAATCACCCTAGGAAGCATCCTTGGTAAGAGATGGGTCTGCAGTTGTTCTGGGCTATGGTTTGTATATGGAAGTTAACTATTGAACCCCAATGAGATACCTTAGGCCTCTGATCCAGGACTTGTATGTGTGTAAAAGGGTTCTCCGCCAGAGTTCTGTCCTGTGTACTTCTCTTTTGTCTGATGGGGACCCTAGATAAGTAAAAAAGTCTTGCAGAGCTGCCTAGGAATCCAGGAGTGTTCCCAGGGAATCCCAGTATGCTTTGCCTGGGTGGGACCTCAGGTGGAGCCTTGATCTGGGGAAAGTCATTCCCCAGTCTAGAATGCAGAATGATCATTTCTGGGGAGGTTGGGGGGTAGGAGGTCTTTCACTGGTTCTGCCTAGGCTCTGGGCCTTCCCCCAGTTCCCTTTTTGGAGACAGAGGCCACCTAGGGCATGGGAGGAGGGGCAACCCAAGCTGCATTTCCACTTGGAAGCCCTCTTTATTTGGCTTGGGACAGAGAAAGACTGGGGTCAGAGTGCACACATCTCCATGGAAACAGCAATGAGCCTGGCCCCTAGGGGACCCTAGTCATAGTAGGGGGTCTTAGGTTTTTTTTTTTTTTTTTTTTTTTTTTTGACTAAGGGGCCTGGGCCCTATCTTTGGCAACAGCTTTTACAAAATCCCAGCCATGAGGCCTGGGGAAAGCAGACAAGTGGACTTCAGTCAGGGCCACATGGAGCAGCAGAAGAGCAGACTGAGCCTTTTAGGACTAAAGGCTTCAGGTAGGAAAACACTGAGTGCAACAGCTAGAGTGTGGAGTCTTTAGACAAGTCTTGGAGAGACCAAAGAAGGGTTAGCTGTGCTGTTGTTCCTGTGTCCTGTTCCACTCATGGCCCACGCAGGATTTGAGCCTCACCAGTTTGCCTAAGGCTTCCCTCCAAGAATAGCTCCTCTGACAGTCTCAGAACATGCAGGCTGCCAGTGCCTCTAAACAGATGCCCCACAGAATGAAAATATTGACTTGGATCCTCGTGGGAGCCTGGTATGGGATGTATGCAAACTTTGGTGGATGAGTTTCTTTTTCCCCAGGATTCTACCTGTGGAGTCCTATGTAGGCACCTTTTTATAACATATATGAAGTACTACAACTGGTCAGGAGTTCCTGGGTGAGGTTGGCTAGACTTACGGAAGGGGATTATGAAGGCTCAAACTGAGCAGGAAAAGAAAAGCCTTAAGTAACATTCAAGATAATTCAAACGCACTTTCATGTTTTGAGTGCATCTGCATGCTGACTGCAGTACTCTAAATGAAGGTTTGTGTATGGGTGTTTTGTTTTTCTAAATGCTTCTACTGCCTGATCTCTGTGAGTTCCAGGCCAGCCTGGTCCCCAGAGGAGTGCCAGGATAGGCTCCAAAGCTACACAGAGAAACCCTGTCTCGAAAAACCAAAAAAAAAAAAAAAAAAAAAAAAAGCTTCTACTGCCAAATCTGACATCAGGTAAGCTACATGAGCTGCAGGGATCTAAAAGGTTCTAGGGAGTAAGGCAGTGAGTGGGCCTAAGGGGACAGAGAGGAGACTTATTCCCCACTGCCAGAGGAGTTTGGCCATACCTAGGTAGGTATGTTCCAGGGGCCTAGGTGGCCTATGGTAAGCACATGGTGAGGCTAACTAAACATCTCACTGACTCATGTGTGGATGAAAGGTAATATGGAAGGCCTTGTGGAACTAGTCCCTTGGCCAGTCCCTGCTAGTATCAAGCAGATGAATTCTGTTCCAGCTGGGCTCTGTAATCCTGCCTGAAGGCCTTTCCTGGACTTAGAGCCTCAGGGTTTCAGGTCTTGCTTAGTTTCATGGACAATAACTGAGCTTGAGGTTTTTTTTTCTTACCCCTTTCAGTCCAAAGCACTATACAAGGCACATTCCTGAGGATCGGGGATGGGGTGGGGTGGGGAATCTGTAGGCTGTGGAAATAGCAAGCAAGTAAGTATCCTCAGGGATACAGCAAAGAGATGGGGCTTAGTCCTTGGGCTTAGCAGCACCAAGAGTTGGAAGTGTGGACACCAGCTGAACCTGACAGGAAGTGGAGGCAGGAGAGCTGACAGAAGGGGGCCTGCCTGAGTCCCACGATCTGAGCCATCTGGGAGCTGTCTTCAGGAGCCTGATAAAATTCTGTGGCTGGCTTGATCCAGGGAACACCTGGAGATTGGGACCAGGGTCCCAGACTCCAGGGAGGTTAGAGACTTAACTTGGAAAAAGCAAGTCAGACCTCCCAGGACCACCGCCCTTCTCGCGTCTCGGCTCACACTTCCCCGACTCTGCGCCACGCGCACGCGCTCCGCGCAAAGAACTCAGGCTACCCGGACCACGGGGCTGCGTTCCGATCAGCCGTAGCAAGGCATCTCTGGAGACTCGGCCTCCCGACGCCTTCCCGGGGCGCAAGTCGTTCATCTTTGACAAGTGATTCTCCCCGGCTGCTGACAGCCGTTCTGGGTCGGCGTCTCAAGACGAGGCCAGGCCCTGATCGCAGGCCCTGGAGGACCCCGCGAACACGCTCAGGGACGCACTCCTCGCCCGCGGACGACTCCGCGCCGCCGTGTCCAGCTAGCTGTCCACGCCGGGAGGTGGGCGGGGCGCGGCGC